GGTTAAAAAAAAAAAAAAAAAAAAAAAAAAAAAACTCGATTCTCTCTCCTCCATGCAGGACGTCGGTAACAGTGCCGACAACACGTAATTACAAGCTTCTGAAAGACAAATCAAACAGTGCCGTGACCACGGTGAACATCGCAACGTTCCTCAAAGAGAATCCACAACAAGAACGAAAAATCATGAGCAGGGACGAAGAAAATCGATACGAACAGATGAATCAAAACAAACAGATTAGCACAAAGAAAGAAGAAATCAGATCGATCCAATCCGATCCAGGAGCAGTAACCAAGAGCTTCAAATCTTATCGTTTAAATCAAAATCTCCACTCGCAGTTTGTTTTTATTGTGCAAGAAACACAAAATGGATCGAGATCTTTCCGGACGCAAAGAAGATAAAAAACAAAAAGAAAAAACGGAGGGGGAATCCAGTATTCCGCTCTCATTGAAACCGAGTAATCATAAAACGGTGCGTTCACGTGTCAGTTTTCAATTGGACAAAGATGATTGTCGAGGGTACGTGCCGGAGTACGGAGTGTCGTGACTGGGAATAAATCCTGACCGTAGATTGCAGTTTCGCAGATAGGGTGAATCCCAACCGTAGGATCATTATCATTGAGGTAGGGCCACCAGATGTCGGTCGTCGCCTTGGAGAATGAGAGGTATAGTTGGAAAACACCAACAACGAACCTCAATGCCTTATTTTTTCCGTTTCACAAAATTAAAAAATATATATATTAAAATATAATTTGAGTAACTAACCAACATAAAAATATAAAATTAAAATGATAATTGATGTTTTATTCACCGAATAATAATCTTCGATAAAAATACATATTTACATTAATGGGTCAACTTTGGAGCAGTAATGTGGAGCCCCGAGAAAAATGAGCATCTAGGACCACATTTTAATTTAGTAAAGATGGGATATAAAATAATAATAAATAGGAAACTTTATAGTAACCGTTACATTGACATAGTTAAGTAAATTAATGTTGATTTATATATATATATATATATATATTTAAAAAATGGGGAAAATAAAAAGGGGCTGAAATTTTCAGAATGTCAGGTAAATAAATTAATGGGAAGAAAGTGGAAAAAGAGAGGATTTTATGGGAAGCAGAGACCACGCTATTAAAGGGGCAGTGATTGCTACGCATATCCAATTTCCTTAATTTAATAATTCCATATGAAAAAAATTACCTATTAATTAAGTAAATTAAATGGATGACATGAATTGTCCAATCAAATCACTGTCGTATAAAATTGCTAAAATTAAATATAAAATACATAAAAAGAAAGAATTAAAAATACGTCACAAAGGTAATTCCACCTAAATATTTTATATTAATAATAAAAAAGACAAAGAAACAAAGAGGTCATATTAAATGATTTAATGATAAAAAAGGGAATATATAAATTTTATGGGATTTTTGTTTCGTATTTGCTACGTTTGTTTGGAAATGGATATTCCTTTTTTTTAAAAGAAAATTGGTTTATTGACTTTTAAAAAATTAATTATATTTTTAAAAATTGATTTGAAAATTTATATATATTTTTTAAATAAAATTACCCATTTTGCAGCATCTAAAAAATGCACTAAAGGAAGATTTTCGATTTTTTATTTTTTTATTATTTTTTGGTGGAGAAATTCCCATCACATATTGGGGGGGCAGAATATATAGTAAAAGGAAGAGTCCTTGCTGGCCACCTGGCAGTAAATACATATATATATATATATATATATATATATATATTTTTTTTTTTTTTTTTTTTTT